AATCTTGACCCCACATTTCTCCTCATAGAGCCCAGCCTCCCGGATAATCTGTTCTGCATACAGGTTGAAAAGGTATGGAGATAGGACACATCCCTGGTATTAGCTATTATAATTATGAGGGCACTCAGGTGGCTAAGTCTGTAGGGAATTGTACTGCTAACCCAAAGGCCTTAATAGCAGCATTTCAAGAAAAAGATGGCTAGTCTCCTCTCATAAGATTAATGGCTTTGGAATTAGATGAACTGTGATAGATTAACAAACAAACCTATGCCTTTGTTAGGAAGCTCTGATAGTCTAGTGGTTAGGAGCTCCACTGCCACCCAAAATGCACATAGTTTGAATCCATCAGCTGCTCTATGGGAGAAAGATAGGCAGTCTTCTCTTGTGCAGTTTACAGCTTCTGAATACCTACTGGAGGATTAGCTGTCAGTTTCTGCTCAGTAGTGCATAACAACAACAGTACATTTCTTGGCAGTTCCTAGAATTTGGGGAGCTAATCAGAGGGAGCCTAGTCCCAAAGGGAGAGACTAACTGCCTAACATGTTGTTTAAATGCGATTGAACCAAGTGTGACTCAGCTATGAACAACAGACCTGAACCCTGTCCTATTTGTGTCATCCTTATCATCTCTGACACACATGAGCCTTTTGTTGTAGTCATTATGTAAGTCCATCTTGTCAAGGGTCTTCTGTTGTTTCAATCAGAGATATTTCTGCCCCCAAAGAATTTTTTGTTACTGTTGTTAGGTAATATTGAGTCTATTACTATTCATAATGAATGGATCTGAGCCCTCTTCTATCCTGTGCCATCCTCCTCATCTCTGCATACTTGAGCCCATTGTTAATGCTAAAGTCGCTATGCCAGTCCATCTTTGTTGAGCATCTTCCTCATCTTTCCAAACATGATATCTTTTTCCAAGGACTCTCCTCTCCTAACAGCGTGCCCAAAAGTATGAAATGAAGCGTTACTATCCTTTCCTTTAAGGAGCACTCTGGTTGCACTTTCTCCAAGACAGATTTATCTGTCCTTTTTGGCAGTCCATTCAGTACTCGTCTCTAGCACCACAGCTCAAAGGCATCAAGTGAATTCCAACTCATGGTGACCCCATGTGACAGAACTGCCTTATAGAGTTTTCTTGACTGTAATATTTAGAGAAGTAGATCACCAAGTCTCTTTTCGGCAGAGCCACTGTGTGAATTCAAACTGCTAACCTTTCATTTAGCAGGGGTGCTTAATTATTGATTTCACCGCCCAGGCTCCTTGCTCTCTAAATGGCATCTGATAATGTCTAGGGACATTATTGTTGGTCATAATTAAGGGCAGGAAATTCCAGGCAGTAGAGACCTTATATCTTAGCTAGTACTGCTATAACAAAAAAATACCAAAAGTGAATGACTTTAACAAACAGAAATTTATCCTCTCACAGTTTAAGAGGAAGGTCTTCATCTCCTTTCAGCGTCTGTAGGCCCCAGAATTTGTTGGAGATCTCTATGTATATTGACATTAGTTTTCCCCTGTATCTGGGGAAGCTCTTTACCACCAAAACCACCCATAGCTATTGAGTCAACTCCTTAGATCATCAGCCTGAAACATCTTGAAATTGGGCTATGCCTCACCCATCTCTGTGTGATATATATGGGTTCTTAATGAATTCTAGTCAGGTTGACAAATACACGCACGCACTCACGCGCGCGAGCGCGCGCACACACACGTCTTAAAGAATCAAAGTCTCTCCTTATTCAGGCACACAGGTGAGCTGCTTGCAATGCCTGGTTCCCCTCAGACCTTCTTGTGGCTGGATTTCTCCCAAGATTCTGAGAAGGGAATCCCAGGTGTTCTCTCCACCACACTTCCTGAGCTGGGTGGGGTTCCCCACTCTCATTGTGTGCACTTGAGGAGTTCACAGATACAGACTGTTGTGTCCATATGTCCACCCTGTTAAAAAGACTCTAGAGTTCACTGGGACTGGCCCTATGGCTCTTTCTCATCACAATGATAACCACACACTCGCCATGTTTACACAGTGCTTCAGAGTTGGCACAGCTCTGTGGGTGGAATGCAGAGTGGGACACATGTGTTACGGACATCCTGCTCTTCCCTGATGGGGCTGTTAACATCCCTGCTCATATCCTGTGCCTCATTTCAGTCTTGTTGTGTATAAGAAAATCCTCATTAAGATTGAGGTTGCTCAATTTCTTCATGAAGTTGGAATGAAACTTTCATTTTATCATCTGCACCTTCCTTCCCTCTTTCCACAAAGCTTATTGAATATGCTTCAAATGCCAGGCATCAGGCCAGGTGCCGGGATTTAGCAATGAGAAGTTCAGACTGAGTTCCTGACCACTCAGAAGCCAGTGTTTATCAAATAACCCGACAAATATCAAATTATCCATAATGGTAAAAGATAAGTAGGGAAAGTCGTGAGGACTTCTCAGAGCAAGAACTTCATATATTTTGTGAAGACCATGTGCCATTCTTCAAGGAAATGTTGGATTACCCAATAAGCAATATTAGCTCAGGCTTACTTGTGTATACTAATAAACACATTGTTCTGTAGTGAACAATTGCACATTTTCACCTCATTCGAGATTCTGCTTCTAGGTGTGGTTGGCGTCTGTCTCTCTTCCATCCCCAAGGGACCTTCCTACAGAATCAAAATCTCTTCTCAAATTGACAACTGCTGACATGGGTAGCATTCCCAGTAAGTAGGGTAGATACAGGTTCCCTTGTAGTTGCTTACTTTTTTGTGAATAGTTATAGCAGGTCTCAGAGGCTGTAAATGGCATTGCCCATCTTTCTCTCAAGGAGCAAGCAGCTGGTGGATTCAAACCACTTCACTTGGGGTTCAACTCCTTGGCCACTAGGTCACAAGAGCTCCCTAATAACACTTGTTGTGTGCTGTCGAGTTAGAATCAACCCGTAGCTGAGCCATCGGCAGGTTTTCAGAAACAGTAAATCATATGGGAGGTTTCAAATCCTTCTCCCGTGTAGTGGCTGGTAGATCCAAACTGTGTACCTTTGGGATAGCTGTGCAGCTTCTTACCCCTAGGCTAGTGATCCTACAAGTCTCAGCTGCCCTCCTGAAGTCAGTGTCCATGCTGTCCCTCCTGTCCATGTCAGCCTGACCCTCATCTCTGTGTAGAGAATTGCCAGTGCTTGATGACCTTATGAGGGAGGCTCTTTAGGCCGTGGGACAGCAACCGCCTTTCCTGCAGCGTAAGACGTCTAATATTATCCTGCATTCTGATGTAAACATGTATGAGCCCCGTTCTCAGAGTTGCTTCTTCAAAGAGTTAAGACTGGAAAACACTATTGCGCAATGTTTATGAGGGAGGAGTTTTGCTGTTCCCACGTCTTCTCCATCACAAGAGGAGGGAAGTTGCTCAGTGGATTATTGTACAGCCTTTGGAATTCTTAAAAAGTGTGAACAGTTTAATGCATTTAGCTACTAACTAACAGGTTGCAAGTTCAAGTCCATCCAGAGACAACTTGAAGAAAGGCTTGTGATCTGCATTTGAAAGATCAGCCATTGAAAACCCATGGAGCACAGTTCTACCCCCATGGCACAGGGGGGTCACCATAAATCAGCTCAATACTGAGTAATAACTGGTTCACACAGCCGTTGAATAAATCTGATATTTTGATGATGGTATAAGAGCGTGAGAAAATCTCGTATCATAGCAAATAAGCTAAAAATAAAAGATTAAAATTGATAGATTATCATTCCTCTCTTTAAAGACAACAGTAAATTTGCACAGAACGTTGGGGGCGGGGGAAACGCAACAAAGTGCTTCAGTTTTTAAGACCATGTAATGGGATAATGGAAGATTTATTTTATTAGCTCTGTTTTCTAATTTTCTTTAAAAAGCACTGAAAACAAAATGACATTTTCTTATTTCCACTGACACAAATGTCCCAGTAGTACAGGCTGTTTCTGTGGAGAGGCCCCATGTCCCAGTTGAGTATCCTCTTTGAGGGTCTCTGCAAGCTTAAAATATACTCTGACACTCCTGCGGACCTTTGTCTCTCAGCTGACCCATCTTGTCTTACCTCTTACCCCCCAAAAAAACACTGCTGGGGTTTCAGAGATTATGACAGGGGCAAATGGAATTAACTCTATTTTTCATTTTCTTTCTCTCCTGCAGGCTGGCCGCACAGCTTTGTCCATCTCTCTGAAATCCCCCGCCCATGCGGAAATTGCAGGGCTTCTGCGAGCCCACGCAGAGCAGGGCAGGTCCCTTGGGTCTTAGGGACTTGGGAAGAACTGGCTGCCGGAAACAAAAGGCGTCTTCTCTGAACTCCTCCATCACCCTTGGAGAGGGCAGGGGTCATAGCCAGAGGGCCGCTCCTCAAGAGAAGAAACTATGTCAAATATGCACAGACATTCCTGTTGTATAATTCTGCTCATTAGGATGCTTTGTAGTTTTTGCCTAAGGCCAAGCCCTGAAACTCCACTGGCTTCAGAGAAGGGTGCAAGGTGGAGGGTGCATCAGTGTCATCTAAAGCTCCCAGACGTCTCCAAACTTGAATTCCTCTTGACTCTACCCTCTGTAGCACCATGGAGCCAGCGGGCAACCAGGAGCACATTAGAAAGCAATACTTTTTACATGGAATTTTGAAGTGCACTGTCTTTTTGGTTTTTGTTTTTAATCAATTATGTACAAATATGTCTTACTGAATATGCATGTCTAGAAAGGGTGGAGAAGGGGTTCAAGCAAGCACTCACTCTCTTGAGGACCCTACAAAGTCCACATACAGAAGAGGAACCTGAACAAGCCCCCTCAGAGGGTTTTGTTGAGATGGAATTGATGGAGAAATAGAAGCACACACTGGTGTCAATGCCAGCCGTATGGTTTTGACCACTTTGGGTTATGGAGAGGATTCCGTTTGCTCCAGGAAAATAGAATGAATTAGGAAGTCCAGTCTAGTGGAGCACACTGTTATGTTTAGGCGAGTTCAGTTACATCCACTATTCCAGCAGAGCCAAAGAAATAAAGGAATGTGAGTGTGCTCCCTCCTGGGGATGGGCTCCTGCCAGCTAGAAGCTACCTAGCACTGATGCCTTTGCACTGTGGTGTGGATGAAGAATATTGAATACACCGTGACCTGCCAAAAGGACCAAGAAATCTGTCTTGTAGGACATGAAGCCAGAGTGCTCCTGACAGGTAAAGAGGGTGAGACTTTGTTTCACAACTTTTATCACGTTTTTAGGCGGGGTCAGCCTCTGGAAAAAGAACATTATGCTTGGGAAAATAGAGGATCAGCAAAAGAGAGGAAGATGCTTCATGAGAGGGACTGACACAGGGATTGCAATGAGGGGATCAAGCATAGCTGACGTGAGGATGGCACAAGAGCAGGCCAGGTTCCAGCCTGTTGTGCATAGGGCCTTCGAGAGTTAGAGCCAGCTGAAGGCACCTGACAGCAACAGAGTCACTTCATTTCTTCTGTATCCTCATGGTAATCCTCAGTCCTCTCTTTTCATAGCACTCATAAGCAAATATCCACTATGATGTTTTTTAAGGCTCCTAACTACTGAGGACACTTGGTGGCTTACTAGGTAAATATTGGGCTTCTTACTCAAAAGGTTGGTCGTTCAAACCTACCAGCCACTTGTCAGGAGAAAGATAAGGCAGGTTCACAGCTTCAGAATCCCTCTGGGTATGTTCTACTCTGTTCTGTAGAGTCACTGAGTCAGAATTGACTCCATGGTAGTAAGTCTTCGGCTTTTTGCTTGTTTGTTTTATTGGCTGCTGAGCTTTTCAGCCTGCTCCAGCAAGAATGTGGGAATGGAGCAGGGAAAGGAAGGGTATGTCCTAGCTGATAACATGCTCTATGGGAAAAGTCTCTCTTAAGCATCCACAGTCCCTGGGGCCCACAAGTGCATAGTTCATACTTTATTAGCTTCCACCAGTTACCTTAGAATTTGTTCTTTCTGAAATGCTCTTCCACGAAAGTCCCCTTATGTGGAAAGAAAAGACATTAGAGTTTGGAAAGCCTCACCTTAGAAACTCAGAAGCCCGAGTTGCTAGGGCTGGGACGCCAGTTTGCTTTGTGGTGAGTCACAAAACCTCCTTGGACCCCAGTTTCAGCATCTCTAAAAATGTAAATCATCATACAACTTGCCTTCTGGGGCTGCTGCACAAGGAAAGCTGGAAAATAGAAGTTTTGGAATCTAATTTGTCCTCCTGAAAGGCTGGTCACAGAGATGCTGTTGTGACTCACAGGGCAGGCTCAGAGTCCCAGAGCATGGACACTGACGTGAGACAGAGGCAGAAAACGGAGCAAACAATGAGCTGAGAGTGCTCTAACTGGGTTTATTTTGACCCCTAAATGCATTTAAGAGTATGAAGTCAATAAATGTTTTAGCCTTGTGCTTCTCAAACGTTTCTGTGTGTTCTTGATAGGCTGTAACAGGGTTGGGTGGGCCTAATTCTAACCAGCTGTCCCTGCTGGGTGAGGACCACGCTTTGAGTTGCAAGGCTGTGACCTATCTTTACTGTTTTGTATAATAAAATGCTCTCTCTCCATCTTCAGTCCCAGCATTTTCTTGCATTTCTTTGCTGTTGTTTCTGGGGAGTTTACAGGACAAGTTTTATCAGCTGGTGCATCTCTGCAGTCAGCAGTAGGAGGTCTGTGTCCTGTGTTGCTAATTTAGGATGATGTTCTGTGTCTCACATTACAGTGGCAGCTTTCATTGGGTTACTTTATTTAAAGGAAAAAAGTAAAAACAACCCTCTCAAAGGAGCCCAGTGATTAAAAACAGCTTGTTTACTAGAGAAGGTAGACTGGTTTTCCTGGAGTAATGAAGACTACTATCCATCATTATAAACAAATAGTTTGCCCTTTAGATATTGGACACATAGTAGACTGGGTGATTAAAAACTATAGTCTAATTGTGATAGACTGTTGGCAGGGGATATATGTTTTTAAGATTTTGTTTAGCATTTCTAAGATCATACTTTTAACCTTGAGTTTGGAATGTATACATAGAGTCTTAGATTTGGCACTGTGAACACATACAATATGCAGCTTCTCAAGCCCTTTTTCCATTCTCTCTGTGTTTCTTGGCTCTAGAAGTCATTCAACAATATCTGTTGCATACCACCTAGTTTTTAGAAAAGAGTGTTGACCTCTTCTACAAAAAACAAAATAAAACAAAAACCCCTTAAGGGTACCATGATCCAAAGTCCCAGTTTTCCAGATGTTAAAACCAAACCTCTCTAATCCACACTTTTGTCCAGGTCCTGTCATGGCAAAGCCTTCAAACAATGTAGCTCAAGTCTTTCTGAAGTTCAGGACTATGCTTATGCCTGAAGAGAGACCCCAGATTTTTCTTCTTCTTTTTCTCTTTTTAAAAATTTTTATTTTATTAATTTTAATGAACATTTACAGAGATTTTGGATTTCCATTCATTCATTGTTGCACTATTTTCTCTACCGGCCCGCAGTTCGTTCCTCTCTTTTTTTTCTTCTTGAAAGTCAGTTTTAATTGTCCCATTGCCACAGTGCTTGTCAAAACCAGTTCTGATTAATCTCCTTTGTCAGTGTGTCCTTTGCCATTCCCTATCACTCCTCCCTGAGAGGGATTTCACCTGAATTCATAAGGAAAAGAGGACGGCGTATTCTCTTAGCTACTTCCTGCTGAAAAGGGACACTGTATGTTTCAGGGAGACCCCAGATATTTAATCCCGTCCCTGACTTTATGGTGTTTTTGGGGAAACAAGGTGCCTATACCAGTCAATGGTCAAGAATAAAACTAGGTGATATTATTGATTGCACAAATATTTATGCAATGCCCACTGTGTTCAAAGTGCTGGGTTGCATTAAAAACATCATAGTAAGTCAGATACAGTCTTTTCTTCCCTATTTACTTGGGGAAATAGAATGAGAAGTACTGGAGCAGTACTGTAAATACTGAACAGTTGGGGAGGCTTCCTGGAGAAAATAGTGTCTGTACTAAAAACTGCAGGATTAGTGGATACTAGCCAGAAAAGGAAAAGTAAGAGGTGAGACTACCAAGTCTAGGAGGAGAGCAGGTATTTGAAAACCTTCATTTAATTCTTTAGGACTGCTGTTTGAATGCAAATGAAACATTGAGATCAAAGGATGGATTTGTGAGAGAGAGAAAAGACATGGAGGCATAATGGTAACTTGCCCTCATAATCATGGTAAAGTGTTGTATATTAAATCATGCCCACTTCCTAAGCAACCTGCCTCTGGAAATTCTATAAACTTTTATAAATGTTGATCATTTTAGAAAGGCTTCAGGCCTCATAGGATTGCTATGAGTCATGCCTGACGTGATGGCAATCAACAATAACAACAACAAAAATACATAATATAGTCATAACTCCTACGCCAGTGAATGTGAGTTTGCTCAGAATTAGAATCTTGGAAGTTATTACCAACTAGTACAAGTTAATACCAGGAGAAAAGTAGGTTCAAATCTTATACAACCAGTGTCTTTATGAAAAAGTACCCAGAGAAAGGAAAAATGGCCATATCATGATGGCAAAGATATATGTAACTGTTAGTCAAGGAACACCAGGATTTCTTGTGGTGGTGGTGGTGGTGTTATGTGTCGTCAAGTTACCTGAGATTCATAGGAACCCTATGTACAACAGCCCCACACCCTGCTCTATTCTGAGCCAATCTGATTGTCTCTATCACACCTATCCCCAGTACCCTTGTCACTGAGTCAATCCATCTTAAGTGTCTTTTTCTCTTGTTCTGTCCACTTTTCCAAGCATGACGTCCATCTCCAAGGACTGGTCCCTCTTTGCAACATGCCTGGTTTCACCCTCTCTAGGGTGAAATTGTTTTTTCTCCTAGCAGTCCATGGTATATTCATATTCTTCTCCAGCACCACAGCTCAAAGGCATCAATTCTCTTCATCCCTCATCATTGTCCAGGTTTCTGATGCATAGAACATAATTGCAAAGACCATGGCCTTGGTCAGGCCCACCTTCGTCTCCAGACTGACATCTTTACTTTTCAGTACTCTGGAGAGGTCCCTGACAGCAGACTTTTCCAATGCAATTCGCCTTTTGATTCCTGGCTGCTAGTACCAAGAGTGTTGATTGTGTGTGGCGCCAAACAAATTAAAGCTGTTAACAACCTCAATCTCTTCACTATCTATCATGATGCTGCCAATCGGGCCAGTGGTATGTATTTTTGGTTTCTTGATGTTGAGCTTCAGTTCATATTGGCGGCTTCAGTCCTTGACCTCCTGCATTAACCATCACTAAAAG